AAAAAATTGTTTTGTACATATTCTGAAAACACTTTACCATATTTACATTCTATATTGGTGTAGAGTTTCTCTTCCAAATAACCTAACACAAGTGTTGCATAGGTAGGTGCCATTTTTGTACCCATGGCCGTTCCCTTTATTTGTTGGTAGTGATTGCCATCAAAATAAAAGACATTTCTTTTCAAAATAACTTCTAAGGATTTGATAATAAATTCATGAGCAAAACGATTATCAATCTTATCTGGATGTTTCTTAAGCCAATACGTAATAGCTTCAATTCCTAAATCATGTGGAATATTTGTATATAAGCTGACGACGTCAAAAATTACAAGTTTAGAATTGGGAGGAACAGATTTTGGCAAATGTTTAAGAAAATCAAAATCGTCTTTTATAAAACTCCTCACTGAAGAACAAAGTGGCTTCAAAATTAAGTCAACAAAATGACTAAGCCGTTTGGTAACACTGTTAGGTCCGCCTACTATTGGTCGAAATGTCAAATCATCTGGATTTTCAATAATCACATACTCACTTTTCTGTTGTTTAATAGCTTCAGCTATGATAGTACTTTTGTGTATTTTAGGCAAACCATAAAAGTAGCTTGTTTTATAACCATCAGATGTTAAATATTTCACCTCTTTATCATAAATACCTTTCTTGTACTTCATGACTAAATCATTGATAAGCTAATAGGTAACATCATCAGCACTTGATTCAATAGATGTATAAAATTCTTCTTTCTCTAACATGTCCACCATTTTCTTACAATAGTAACTACTGTTCATTACAATAACAGCTCCTCCCTTGTCTGCTTCCTTAATAACTATGGTTTTATCTTTTTGTAAAGAATTCAAGGCAGTTCTTTGTTTAAATGATAAATTACTTTTAACTTTCTTTTGACAACCAGAATCAACAGGGCAATTTTTCAAACTTTCTATAGTATCTTCCAACATTTTATCTTTGCTTTTTGGGGGATTCCAACGAGATTTGTTCCAAACTAGTGACCCGTCGTTAAAATTGCTAATCTTATTATTGTCATCATCATCATCATCCTCATCATCATTTTCTTTATGGAATCTTTCACTAAGACGGAGTCGTCTACAGAATGCTAATAGATCTGCCTTAAGTTCTTTGCCATCATGAGTATTTGGTGTTGGACAAAATTTCAGACCTTTAGATAACAAGTGTACTTCATCATCAGTAAATTTTCTACTAGAAAGATTTATTACTTTTGGTAACTTACTTTGATCAGTATTGTTATTTACACCTTTATCTACACTGCCGTCGTTTTCTCTTCCTGACTGTGTACATTTGTTTTTGTCCCTCCGCCTTTGTTTCCTAATTTTGATTGTCCTAAAAAATGCTTGTTTACCGATTTCCCAATGTAGGTAGTTCCTTGCAACTTAACTGGGCTGGATTCTTTTACACCCGAACTGTTCTTTCCGGAGTGTTTAGCTTTACGCGCATACTTGGTTCTAGTTCCCATTTTAGGCGTATTTGGTTTCTGTACTACAGCTGGTGTCTTGATCACCTCAGAATATATATATATATATACATTGGAATCCATTAACATCACCACCTGTATGTACGGGATCCTGCTTAAAGAGACTCGGACCCAGTTATATCAGCACAGGTAACATGGTGTTTAGTACGTCCACTTGGACTGACCACTGGTCAGTGACTTACCGGATAATTGATGGTTTTCTGCTGACACCACTTGAGAAGTGCGTTTCTCTTGGAGCCACCCATCTGTTTTGACAGCATGCTCAGTGGGTCCTTGGAGCTGCCTTCCTTCCTGTCACCACTCTCAACCAGACTACACACAGGAAACAAAGGCATGTCACACATAATTAATAACATCACTGCAAATTGATAATGACTTCAATCAATTCACTACTTATTTATAGTGAATTTTCACTTTGATTCGGGAGTAGACGCATTCACAAACTGAAATATTCCGTGAATACCTATATATAGCTATTCCACACAATATAACTTTTATATTTATACCGTGTAGATAGCATTTTTCACAAATTCAATTTCATTATGTTATCCACAAATTCAACCTTTATGCAAAGTTTGTAAAATGAAATACATGTGATATAGCGTCCTATCTAGCTAGAGAAATCTCCAACCCGAGGGTTGATGGTTTTTTTATTGTCTAACCTGAGGCTCTGCCGAGGGTTAGACAACCAAATTAATTACCCCTCGGGTTGGAGATTTCTCTGTCACACCCTCAATGTAGGGGATGATTATTTTTCTCCCATCCTATTATTTCAGTCATAACTCCACCGACAGTAGTGTAAACAAAAACACATGTGCGGTATGAATATCGTCATTCACTTTTGATGCCGTCACAATTACTGGTGACGTATTTTAATGACGTCACAATTGAACATGTGCTAATCCGCACAAGGCTATCTCCCCCAAGGGGGTGACAAGCTGATCTTTCCCGGCTAAAACGGGAGACAAACCTGTGAAGGGTGGGAGAAAAGCCACTCTAAAGTGTTTTACAGTGAATAGATATACAATCAGAATTAACATTTACATTAGATAATACATTAATCAATACTCATCAGGCACTAATTACAAGTCCTATACCACCTGGCTAATATCTCCCTGTGTGTATACATGCCTGTGTGTGTGCTAGAGATGTATTGTGTTCTGTTTGTAGTGGGACTGTGCTACCAAGGGCATCTTTTATAGAACCACCTCACTTGAATGCTACAGCAGATACCGTAACATCCACCCCAGACCATTTTATATTCCACCTGGGTTGTTGGAAGTGGGGGCATGAGAAAAACACTTTCTCTGAATATTCCATACATACGACTATTTTCGAGGATTAACCCCTGTAGTATTAACCACGCGGCCAATCAGCCCAAACAATCATGGAGTGCAAAATAACTTAACTGTATAGCTTCCAAAGAATTATTCCTCAACTTTAAAATATAAGTAGATCACAATGAATGATAAAAAAGACAGAAAAACCAAACCGAGGGTAATATTTTTCAGATCAAACAGAACTGTTAAATTTCAAAACCTTATTCCCAAGGTTTCAGATTTCTTTGTCTACATCATACAGGAGTGATTGATTATTATTTATCTACCACACCTCCTTGTTTAATATCATGACTCTATGCCTTTCAGTTCTTCAGAAGTTGTTTGAAATTTATGCCAGATTTGACCCCTGTGACCTTGAAAGTAGGATGAGGTCATTTTTATTTGCAAAGTGTTTTGGGTGCATCACAAAAGTCTACCAGCAAAATATTTGTTTATTTTCAAAGTATTTTTCACATTACAATAACATTTAAATTTTGTTTCTTTTTTCCCCAAATAAATTTAAATTAGATCAAACATATAAACAATCGGCAAAATGTAGGTCTAGGAAATAACAATAAGCCTTTTCCATTTTTTCCACTCATTCTGGAGGTTAATGAGATATATTTCGTCTTTACTATTTGCAATATATTTTTGAATACTGTAATGTTCTTTAATTGAACTTTTAATTCCTTGTATAGATAAAGGCACTTTAAGACATCTTGCCTTGTTTGTTTATTATAATCAAATGGAATAATCAATGCATCTTATAAGAACTCAAAATTTTGTAAAAGATTTTGTACTTTGTCACATTCCCATAATACATGCTCTATTGTCTCTATTTCTAGTTTACACAGTTCACAGTAAGGGCTATCTACTATTCCTGCCTTAAACAAATATGCATTAGCTGTCAAAATGTGCTGATTAATTCTGTACTGAAACCACTGTAATTTAGTATTTTTCGTAATTTTAAATGGCATTTTATATTTATTTTTTCCAAACTTCATCATCAAATTGAAATATATCATCCCATTTTTTTTTACCTGTTGAAATAGTATCATTTTTACAAAATAAGCTATACAAATCTCTTATCCCCTTTTTGTTCTTCAAAAACATTTCTATATTAATTGGTAACAAGAGGCCCAGATGGCCTGTATCGCTCACCTGAATATGTTTAAAATAATTGGTATGAATGATCCATCCAGTACTTGAGATATAGTGAGAACAAACTTCAAACAGAGCCCCACCCCTATGCAACTTAGGGGGGGGGGGGGGGGGGGATGTCATACCCATCAATTATACAAAATTGAGTCCCCTTGGGCCATTGATGCTCCAGACTAAATAAGGATAAAATCCCATAATCCCGATGGTCGAAGTAGGGTTTTAAAGGTTTTACCTCAATTTTTCCAACTGACCCCCGCCCTTCTGCCCCCTGGGAAACCACACCCACTGCTTATACAAAATTGTTTCCCCTTCACCCAAGGCTGCTTCATATGAAATTTGGACAAAATCCTGTCATTTCTACAGAAGAAGAAGGATTTTGAAGAATTTGCTATGTTTCCCCTATTGGGCCCCTCCCTTCTGCCCACAGGGTTGGGCCACCCTCGCTGTTTATACAAAATTGAGTCCCTTTTGCCTAAGGATGTTCCAGACTAAATTAGGAAAATATCCCTTAATCCCTATGGTAGATGTGGGATTATAAAGGTTTTACCTATATTTCCCCTATTGGGCCCTGCCCCTCAGCCCCCAGGGGGCCAGGCCCACTGTTTATACAAAAGTGGTTCCCCTTTACCCAAGGATGCTCCACACCAAATATGGACCGATTCCTACAGAAGAAGGATTTTAAAAAATAATCTGCTATGTTTCCCCTATTTGGCCCCGCCTCTCAGGCCCCTGGGGGGCCAGACCCACGGTTTATACAAAATTGGTTCCCCTTTACCTAAGGATGCTTCAGACCAAATATTGACAAAATCCTGTCATTCTTACAGAAGGAGAAGGATTTTAAAGAACTTGCTATATTTCCCCTATTGGGCCCCGCCCCTCAGCCCCCAGGGGGGCCAGGCCCACTGTTTATACAAAATTGGTTCCCCTTTACCCAAGGATGCTCCACACCAAATATGGACCAAATTCTTTCATTCCTACAGAAGAAGGATTTTAAAGAATAATTTGCTATGTTTCCCCTATTGGGCCCCGCCCCTCAGGCCCCTCGGGAGGCCACACCCACGGTTTATACAAAATTGGTTCCCCTTCACCCAAGGATGGTTCAGACCAAATATGGACCAAATCCTTTCATTCCTACAGAAGAAGAAGGATTTTAAAGAATAATTTGCTATGTTTCCCCTATTGGGCCCGGCCCCTCAGGCCCCTCGGGAGGCCACACCCACGGTTTATACAAAATTGGTTCCCCTTCACCCAAGGATGGTTCAGACCAAATATGGACCAAATCCTTTCATTCCTACAGAAGAAGAAGGATTTTAAAGAATAATTTGCTATGTTTCCCCTATTGGGCCCGCCCCTCAGGCCCCTGAGGGGCCAGACCCATGGTTTATACAAAATTGGTTCCCCTTGTCCCAAGGATGCTTCAGACCAAATATGGAACAGATCCTTTCATTCCTACAGAAGAAGAAGGATATTAAAGAATTTGCTATATTTCCCCTATTGGGCCCCGCCCCTCAGCCCCCAGGGGGGCCAGACCCACCATTTATACACAATTTGTTCCCCTTCCCCCAAGGATGCTTCTGACCAAATTTGGTCAAAATCTGCTCAGTCGTTCATGACTAGTAGCGTTTTAAAAGAAAAGTTGACGGACGACGGACGCTGCGGTATGGCATAAGCTCACCATGGTCCTTTGGACCAGGTGAGCTAAAAATGGATAGTTAACCTCTACATTTGAAATATATATCTTGTTGTATAATATACTTTCTAATGGCAGTAATTAGACCCTGGTATCGTAAAAAGTTTGTATTTATATCATAAATCTGTTTGAATTCTTGAAATGCGTAAAAAGCATAGGTATTTCTGTCTCTGATTAGATCATCAATTACAATTATTCCTTTATCCCTATAAATATTATGATTATATGCCTTTCGGTTCTTCAGGAAAAGTCGTTTGAAGTGTTTTGTCATATTTGTACCCTGTGACCTTGATAGTAGGGCAGTTTTTTTCATGCTCATACATTGTCGGGCTCAAACCCAAGAGTCTACCAGCCAAATAATATGATTCTATGCCTTTGGTTATTCAGAAGAAGTCATTTGAAGTTTTTGACATATTCGACCCTGTGACTTTGAAAGTAAGAAGAGGTCATTTTCATTTGCATACTCTTTCAGGCTCCATCCCAAGAAGCTACCAGCCAAATATCTAGATTCTATACTTTTCAGTTTTTCAGAAGAATTTGTTTGAAGTGTTAGACATATTTGACCCCTGTGACTTTGAAAGTAGGTAGAGGTCATTTTCATTTTCATTTGCATAGTCTTTCAGGCTCCATCCAAAGAAGCTACCAGCCAACTATTTAGATTCTATTTTTAAGTTCTTCAGAAGAAGTTATTTGAAGCTTTTGACACATTTGACCCCTGTCACCTAGAAAGAAGGTCAAGGTAATTTTTAAACTTTGTCTGGTTCTTACCAAGGACACTTTCAGCCAAATATCATGACTCTAGGCCTTTTCATTCTTCAGAAGAAGTCATTTAAATGAAAAGATGACAGCCGCTGGACACAGTGCCATGGCATAAGCTCACTAGTGCTTTGGGAAGGTGACCTGAAAACAGTACAACAGATGTAAAAGAGATTTAAAAAGGTGATGACTCACCCGACGGTACTGCTGCGTCGTATGCTGGCTGACGGTCTGTTGGAGAGTATGGAAGAGATGGTTGGAGATGTATCAGTTTTGCTGGTAGGGGGCGCTGACTTTGGCCCAGTCTCTAACGGCGAACGGGGACTATCGAAGGAGAGCATGCCAACTGAAAGACGTATAGGTGAAGGTTTCTCTGTCTTTTTGAGAGCAGATCGGAGTGTGACATCTGGAGAACTAGTATTAAACAATGGAGAGCCTTCAACATTTGGGGAGGAAGGAGACTTGACAAGATCCTGAAATTCACGGATTCCTGACAAAGATCCATCTGCAGTATCAGAATTTCTACGTGAACTACAAGTGCTGGAATGAAGAGATGAACAGCCACTCTTCACCTGTTCCTCAATGGAGCGGATCAAACTTTTTACAGATTGTGTGGCGTTTTTGTCCTGGCGTTTGTCCCGTAGATGTAGCAGTTCACGGTCCACAGTGCACAGAACTTTGCCTTTTAGTTCTGCATTTGACATGATAGACTTTGGCGTACTACTCTTTTCATCCAGAGATTTCTGAGATTTCAGACAATCATTCTCTTCACGTAGCTTGTCATTTTCACTTTGCAGACTTACAACTTGCTCTGAGAGTGTAGCGTTGTCCTGTTGTATTTTGTCGCGGTCCTCCTGAGTCTCAGCACGGAAGTCATTTGCGACTAGAACTGCCACCTGCAGGTCCTTCTGAAACTGATGCCACTCCTCAGACTTCTCATCCATTTTTTCCCGGAGCTCACGTACCTCAGTGTCCACCTTCACCTTCTCTTGTAAAAGAGTGTCAATCTGTTTACGTAAACCTTGAAGTTCAACCGTGAGGCACTTCTTGTTTTCACGCAACTGGTCTGCATCATGTTCCTCCTCACTCATGCGTTGCCGTAGCGATTCAATTTCCATCTTGTTGTCCTCCCGTTCCTTGTCCAGACGTTCTATCTTATATTCAAAGTCATGAACCTGTGTTCGCCCATTGTTCTTGGTGACCTTGAGCTCCTCCTCACGAGACCTGAGTGTCTCACGTAGATTTTCAACTTCATTTTGACTGTGGAGCAGTGTTTCCATTGTGTTTGCACATTTGTCCTCTAGCTTGTCCTTCTCCTGGAGGGCATTGTGCAGCAACTCTTCCAGGTCTGAACGCTTAGAGGCAGCACAATACTGATCAAGCTCCTGCACCCGGGTCTTCTCATTCTCCAACAGCGTCTTATAATGGGAAATCTCAATTCTGTTATTGGCCATTTGTTCTTTGAGTTCAGAATTATTCCGTGCATATGTGTCACGCTCTGCTTTTAAACTGGATGCAGTGTCCTCCAATAGTAAAGATTTGTCGCGTGTCGCATCCACAGCATCTTGGGACTCACGTAGGTCATGCTCGCAGTTGTGAAGTGCATTTGCGTACTCATTCTGTTTGCATATCATCTCCTCTCTCTCAACCTGGCCAGCCTTCAGTAACTCCAGTAGTTGTAGTTCCCTGGTGGTCGTGTCCGGTAGGGTACCACTGATCAACAGACTCTTCAACTGTTCAATCTGTATGCGACAGTGTTGAAGTTTTTCTGTCTGCGTACATAGAGACTCCAGCAGAATGTTCCTCTCGTTAAACAGCCGTTCATTTTCATCAGTGAGTTCATTAACACTGTGCTGAAGATCGCCAAGCTCTTGCAGGGTGGCCTGCAGCTCCTCATTAGTGCTGTAGTGACTCTCTTCCATTTGCTGTATTCGCTCGGTCAGCCCCGCCACACTAACTTCACTGAGAGCATCACTGCTCTTATTACTACCTTTTTCCCAATTTGCACTTATTTCAAAGGAACACAATGATGGGTGCTCAGGTACTTGGCTACAAATGTCATTTAGTGACAGACCTGGCTCCGAGGTCACTGATCGGTCAGCTGTGTCATATTTACCCGTGTTACACTGACCATCTGTCGAAAGACTGTCACAACTTATACTCTTGGGAACGCTCCCTTCCACAGATTTACATCCCTTATTTGCCTGTAACCGTGACAACTTCTCTGTGTCCGTGATCTGTTCCACCGGATGCCCCAAGTCCTTCAGCTGATCCATGTACAACTTATTTTCAGATCTCAGAAACTGAATTTCGTCCTTTAAATCATGAGAAGGAATTTGTTCTTTTAAGTTTTTAGTTTCGTATTTGAACTTCTCTATTTCTGCTTTCCTGTTTTCTGCCACTTGAACTAACTCCGAGATTCTAGCCTCCAGCAATTTTTTGTCCTTCTCAAAATTGGCAAGAAGCTCTGCATTATAAGCCATGACATCGGCGGGAGCAGAAGTCCGTTTGCGCGCCTGCTTGTCCTTACTCACATTCTGTTGACTATGAGCACGTTTCATCGCCTGCATCCTACTAGTGTAGGTTTTGTGGGTGGTGGCCCCTCCTGTGCCCCCACTATTCCCACTTTTGTCTATATGTTGGGTGCTGGAAGCCTTGCGTATAGGGGCCACAATTAATGCCTTTACAGGCTTTGGTTTGAGAAAGCCTTCTTTGTCTTTCTGCTGAAAGTTTTCCTTGTTGCTTTGTTTGCCGGAGTTATCTGCCTTTGGAAGACCTAGGCTAGATTTTGGTCTGTGATCAATGTAGGTAGAAAGCTTTTTCTTCTGGTGTAAAGACAGGTTTTCATAGCTCTTACTCAGGTAGGGCTTTCCCAATGGAGAGCCCACAGACTTGCCCTGCAGAGGAGCCTTCTGTTTTGATGACAGACTCATATGGTCTGATTTGGATTCTTTGAAGCCACGATTAGTCTTAACAGGTGTGACTTTCATCGGCGTGGACGTCTTCTTCACTTTGCCATCGGCCTGCATGGTGACTTTGTGCACTTGTCAGGGAACCTGTCAACATACAAACAACAGTGGTCAGGGAGCCTGTCAACATACAAACAACAGTGGTCAGAGAACCTGTCAACATACAAACAAAAGTGGTCAGAGAACCTGTCAACATACAAACAGTGGTCTGGGAACCCGTCAACATACAAACAACAGTGGTCAGGGAACCTGTCAACATACAAACAGTGGTCAGGGAACCCATCAACATACAAACAGTGGTCAGGGAACCCGTCAACATACAAACAGTGGTCACGCAACCCATCAACATACAAACAAAAGTGGTCAGGGAACCTGTCAACATACAAACAAAATTGGTCAGGGAACCTGTCAACATGCAAACAAAAGTGGTCAGGGAACCTGTCAACATACAAACAAAAGTGGTCAGGGAACCTGTCAACATACAAACAGTGGTCAGGGACCCCATCAACATACAAACAGTGGTCAGGGAACCCATCAACATACAAACAGTGGTCAGGGAACCCGTCAATATACAAACAGTGGTCAGGGAACCCATCAACAGACAAACAGTGGTCAGGGAACCCATCAACATACAAACACAAGTGGTCAGAGAACCCATCAACATACAAACAAAAGTGGCCAGGGAACCCATCAACATACAAACAAAAGTGGTCAGAGAACCCATCAACATACAAACAAAAGTGGTCAAAGTATAATGCCAATACATCTGCCCGACAAATACCACAGACTTAACATACAGAACATATCATCTCTTTTGCAAAGGGATGCTCTATATATTGATAACATCAATCTGGACATTATGGCAATTTTTAAACAAAATGACAATGTGTTAGAAACGTGTACTAGTCTGATATATCAAACATTGTATATCAATATAAAGTCCCTACACTACTAATATAAATTTGTTTATAAGTACATTGATCCAACATCAAACATTTTATTTATTCATACCAACTGTGAGAAATAGAATCAGAAAATGTCTGTAAAACATACCCCTCATAAATGATATAAATAGCCAACTGAAGTAATGGGGCAAACTTAAAGTCCATCCTCAGTCAGTTAAGTGTAAACAAAGGTCACAGTGACCTACATTTGATATATTTGTGTAGAGTAAGATGTATCCACAAGTGAAGTTCTATGTTGGTTGGACCTCTAGCATCAGTTATGAAGCTAGACCCAAAGTATAATATTTTGACATGAGAAGAGCACCAGGTATAAATAAATGACAGGCGGGGTACCACAGTACCTTAGTATTTTGACTATATACAATACTCCTTCTGCAGCAAAAACATTAAGATCTGTTTGTCCCATGCCCAAGTTGAATTTTGTAGTATATCATTCTGAAAGACTGCAGGTCACTATTTGCTAGTATTAGCAGATACTGTTCAGCAGTTTTCAACTGTCTGAAAAGAAATAGCGTTGATGGCTGAACAGATACAGCATCATCTGTCTGATCAGAGACAGACAGCATCATCTGTCTGAACAGAGATAGACAGCATCATCTGTCTGAACAGAGACAGACAGCGTCATCTGTCTAACAGAGACAGACAGCATCATCTGTCTGAACAGAGACAGTCAGCATCATCTGTCTGAACAGAGACAGAAAGCGTCAGCTGTTTAACAGAGACAGACAGCATCATCTGTCTAAACAGAGAAAGACAGCATCATCTGTCTGAACAGAGACAAACAGCATCATCTGTCTGAACAGAGACAAACAGCATCATCTGTCTGAACAGAGACAGAAAGCGTCATCTGTCTGAACAGAGACAGAAAGCATCATCTGTCTGAACAGAGACAAACAGCGTCATCTGTCTGAACAGAGACAGAAAGCGTCAGCTGTTTAACAGAGACAGACAGCATCATCTGTCTGAACAGAGAAAGACAGCGTCAGCTGTCTGAACAGAGACAGACAGCATCATCTCTCTGAACAGAGACAGACAGCATCAGCTGTCTAACAGAGACAGACAGCATCATCTGTCTGAACAGAGACAGAAAGCATCAGCTGTCTAACAGAGACAGACAGCATCATCTGTCTGAACAGAGACAGAAAGCATCAGCTGTCTGAACAGAGACAGACAGCGTCAGCTGTCTAACAGAGACAGACAGCATCATCTGTCTGAACAGAGACAGACAGCATCAGCTGTCTGACAGAGACAGACAGCTTCATCTGTCTGAACAGAGACAGACAGCTTCATCTGTCTGAACAGAGACAGACAGCGTCATCTGTCTGAACAGAGACAGAAAGCGTCAGCTGTCTGAACAGAGTAATGACAGCATCATATGTCTGAACAGAGACAAACAGCGTCATCTGTCTGAACAGAGACAGAAAGCGTCAGCTGTCTAACAGAGACAGACAGCATCATCTGTCTGAACAGAGACAGACAGCGTCATCTGTCTGAACAGAGACAGAAAGTGTCAGCTGTCTAACAGAGACAGAAAGCATCATCTGTCTGAACAGAGACAGACAGCATCATCTGTCTGAACAGAGACAGACAGCGTCAGCTGTCTAACTGAGACAGACAGCATCATCTGTCTGAACAGAGACAGACAGCATCATCTGTCTGAACAGAGACAGACAGCGTCAGCTGTCTAACAGAGACAGACAGCATCATCTGTCTGAACAGAGACAGACAGCATCATCTGTCTGAACAGAGACAGACAGCGTCATCTGTCTGAACAGAGACAGACAGCGTCATCTGTCTGAACAGAGACAGAAAGCGTCATCTGTCTGAACAGAGACAGAAAGCGTCAGCTGTCTGAACAGAGACAGAGAGCATCATCTGTCTGAACAGAGACAGAAAGCGTCAGCTGTCTAACAGAGACAGACAGCATCATCTGTCTAAACAGAGAAAGACAGCATCATCTGTCTGAACAGAGACAGAAAGCATCAGCTGTCTTACAGAGACAGACAGCGTCATCTGTCTGAACAGAGACAGACAGCGTCATCTGTCTGAACAGAGACAGAAAGCGTCATCTGTCTGAACAGAGACAGAAAGCGTCAGCTGTCTGAACAGAGTAATGACAGCATCATATGTCTGAACAGAGACAAACAGCGTCATCTGTCTGAACAGAGACAGAAAGCGTCAGCTGTCTAACAGAGACAGACAGCATCATCTGTCTGAACAGAGACAGACAGCGTCATCTGCCTGAACAGAGACAGAAAGTGTCAGCTGTCTAACAGAGACAGAAAGCATCATCTGTCTGAACAGAGACAGAAAGCATCATCTGTCTGAACAGAGACAGCGTTCATGGCTGAAGTTGTCTTACTTAAAGAAACTAGAACACTGACAGGTCAGTAAGGGCCCCGTCTTGTGGCAATTATATCCCCCATAATCATCAAGAAGCAATCTGCCCATATAACTGAGCTTGACGTTTGACATTTGGACTTCAAAAAGAATCACAAGGAAGCAAAGTATACATTTTACATGTACTATGATGTGATGTGTTTCCTTCCACCTCCATATTTGCTGGGCTAACAGAAATGTAATTACTGGTGCAATACTCATTTGTTAGCTTCAATTTGTTTTATTTCACCTTATATACCTCCTCCATCAAGAGCCAGGGTCAAAGTCAGAGATCCACTTTGTCTTTGACCTTTGGACCCAAATGACCTTGACCATTAACCCAGTGACCCTGATCTTTGTTCAGTTGACTTATTCTTTAATTTCGACCAACTTTGCTTCTTAATAATATAACAAAATACGGGGCCCTAATTATGGAATCTAGCTGTAACGAAAAAATATCTGGAATTTTGTGACAGCGTTGAAGTATTGGCGTGACATTTTAAAAATCCCTGAGGGAACCTTCATTTGAGCAAACAGTATCATTATTATGTAGAATATGTATATACTGTACATATTTATTTCTCCCACAACTACTATGGTGTCCTATATATACTCATTATATAAACCTGTTAGAAGTTGGTAAACACTAGTGGATGTGATTGATTAATTGTTCAATCATGATGCTCTGCTCCTCCATATTCCAATAAGACATTCTGATTCATTGAAATTATTTTCCTGATTGGAAACAGAAATATGCAGTTCAAATAAAAACATGGTTTTCTAAATACCACAGGAACGGTATGGAAGAAAGAGTTCCCTAAACTCATGGGGACTGGTTATCATGTTCATCTCACTCTAATGAGTTAATTTTTGAATTATAAAAAGACTCTTTGTAAACCTCTTGTTTTTATGTAATTTGAAAATAACTTAGGTAAGGAGGTAAGATAGGTATGATAACTAACTAGCACTTATTGGGAACCTCTATATATGACTTTTTATTTTTCTAGATCAAAGTTTTTCTGATCATGTTGTTAGATTATTTTTTTCTACCAGAAAGTTTTCTGATCAAAAATTGTTCATACTTGTATAATATTTTGTTTTTGTTTTGTTTTTTCCTAAAGAAATAAGCTTCTTTTGTGATAAATCAGATAAAACAGCAGTTTTCTATGAACTTTCAACAGGAAATGTTGATGTAAAGAAACCCTTTCAATTACACATTAACTTTAACATTTTGTTAGGTAGTTAATTTGAGCTTGAGTAAGTTGATTTGTTCATCTTTCTGTTGTACTTATCAAATATATATTTATAATCAGTGCAATCAAGAAAATCATAAAATTAAATATATACACAGCAAATATTCTGTGTTACTATGACATACAATGTATATCAGTTAGATTACCTGCTTGGGACCCGACATTTTACAGCGTTGAACACTGCCATTGTATGACATATCCACCATGCAAAAACATCCACAGCATTTCCTAAACTGCTTCAACCAATCTATCTTACTACATTCCATATTTCCTACACACTGACCAGCTGTCGACCAGTCCTCCCAGGAAGTGGTCATCTGTCCTATTATTACCTAGCCCCTCCAGGGCTCACAACTTGAACAAAAGGCGTATGAATACCCTCACTTAACTAATAAATCCTTGCTCTAAGGCAATCATACCAGTAACTATTACCAGGTAAGGATAATAGACAGTGCTATCATATACTTACCAGGATTGTCCTTGAACACCA